CCCCTGGGTTCTGTGGCTCCTCCTATGAGTTTGAAATCAACCATGCAGGGTGTTTACCCCCTGGAAATCGGCAAATGCCACACGCATCAGGACTCGCCTTCCCCAAGCCCACCCAGAGCTCGTATGAAACATTTACCAACGTACATCTCCCAGTTGGTGTTGGTGCGGCCCTCAGACTCAAGTTCAAATGTGCCAGGGGTGGCAACTGTCAGCAGGGCAAAAGTAGTGTCCTCACTGGATTCTCCAGCTGCAATTTTTTCCTCCCATCTTGCCCTGCTACTTCCTTACTATACTGTCAACATACAGTGTTTCAAATACTTTCCCTAGGGGTGGGTGTTTGTGCCACGCTTGGGATGCCCACGTCCCATACGGGAGTGCCTGGTTTGGGTCCCAGCTCTGCTTCTGATTCCAGCACTCTGTTAACACGCACCCTGGGTGGCAGCAGGTGATGGCTCAACTAGTTGGGTCTCTCCCACCATGAGACTTAGACTGAGTTCCACACTCCGGGCTTTGGCTGATCCCTTTCTGTCTATCTGTCTCTGTTCATTTCTCTCTCTGCCTTTCAAATAAATAAATTAAAAAAACTTTTCCAAGCATTTTTAGTGTCCTTCAGCTTGACAGTCTTAATAACTATTGACCAGAAACTACAATTCAAGCACTCTACAAATGTTAGTTATTATTCTAGACATGTTAAGAGTGAAAGAATGATCCCAGGATTAAAGAAGTCGATTACCACTTGTGTCAAATATTTTTTTTTTTTTTTTACAGGTAGAGTGGACAGTGTGAGAGAGAGACAGAGAGAAAGGTCTCCCTTTTTGCCGTTGGTTCACCCTCCAATGGCCGCTGCGGCTGGCGCGCTGCAGCCGGCGCACCACGCCTATCCGAAGGCAGGAGCCAGGTGCTTCTCCTGGTCTCCCATGGGGTGCAGGGCCCAAGCACTTGGGCCATCCTCCACTGCACTCCCTGGCCACAGCAGAGAGCTGGCCTGGAAGAGGGGCAACCGGGACAGAATCCGGTACCCCGACCGGGACTAGAACCCGGTGTGCCGGCGCCGCTAGGCGGAGGATTAGCCTACTGAGCCGCGGCACTGGCCTGTCAAATATCTTAACCTCTGTTTGCTTCACAGGTAGAATGGGTATGAAAATAGTACCACCGATTTCACAGGATTGTCATGAGGACTAAATGCAGCGTTTGCACTCAGAGCACTGTGGGTGCAGACAGATGTACTAGGCCGTATCTGTACCTAAAGGACCTGTGCTGCTGCTGCACCATTGTGACCCCTGGCTAGATACTGAAACCAAACTACTCCCTTTTCCCTGGTTATTAAATTTAACTTTTTACAAACATTATTTGAAAGGCAGAGAGAGCGAGAGATAGACACAGATATATAGATGAGAGAAGATCTGCTTCACCCCCTAAATACAAAGCCAGGAGCCTGGAATTCAACCCAGATCTCACACACAGCTGGTGGTGGGGAGACCTAAATACTTGAGCCATCACCTGCTGCCTCCCAGGGTGTGTGCAGGAGAAAGCTGGATCAGAAGCAGAGTAACCAGGACCCTAACCAGGCACTCCAGTAGGGGTACACCAGGTAGTGACTTAACCACTGTGCCTGCTCCATGAACACAAAATAAATCATTAATGATTTAGGGGTGGGCATCTGGCCTAGCAGTTAAGATGCCAGTCAGGATGCCTGCATTCCCCATCAGAGTACCTGGGTTTAATTCCGGGCTCTGGCTCCAGATTCCAGCCTCCTGCCAAAGCGCTCCCTGAGAGGCAGTAGGTAATGGATTAAGTACCTGGGTTCCTGCCACCCATGTAGGGGATTAAGTTTTTGCCACCCAGCTTCAACCAGTCCTGACCACTGCAGCATTTGGGGAGCAAACCAATAGATGGGAGCTCTAGAAAAAAAAAAAAGTAGATGAGAGATATGAAGTGCTTTGAAATTTTTTAAAAGATTTATTTATTTATTTATTTGAAAGAGTTAGAGAGAGAGAGAGAGAGGTCTTCCATCTGTTGGTTCACTCCCCAAATGGCCATAGTGGCCGGAGCTGCACCGACCCAGAGCTAGGAGCCAGGAGCCTCTTCCAGGTCTCCCATGTGGGTGCAGGGGTCCAAGGATTTGGGTCATCTTCTACTGCTTTCCCCGGCCATAGCAGAGAGCTGGATTGGAAGAGGAATAGCCGGGTCTTGAACCTGGGCTCATATGAGATGCCGGTGCTTTAGGCCAGGGTGTTAACCTACTGCGCCACAGCAAAGGCCCCTGTGCTTTGAAATCTGAAGGCGTTCCAGGGGAAGATACTGCAATCCATGTGTTCTTCTAAGTGCAACGATAGAAACACAGAAGGTCTGGGGAGGCCCCGGGAAGCGGCGGTCAAGCTGGATCCCTCCATGCCGGCATGGTGGCTTCTGAAGGCAGGAACCCGGAAAACTGCCCGTCCTCGGAACTGTGGCCTGGGCTCTCCAGCATCTGAAAGCCCCTCCTAGTTTTCAGGGTGAGACTTTGAGGGTGGAAGCAGCTGCTGGCACCAGAAGCTCAAGGCAACTTCTCTCTGCACCCACGCAGTTCAGGCCTGGGCGTGGGTCCCAGCCTTGCCCATGGATGGATGGGCTAGCTGGCTGATTTTTTTTAAATGTTTTATAATTCATATACCATAAAATTCACCCTTCTGAAGTATATAATTCTGTGGTTTTTAGAGTATTTACAGAGCGGCGTAACCATTACCACAATCAATTTTAGAACATTTTCATCAAGTTGAAAATAAACGCTGTACCCATTAAACAGTCACTCTCTCCATCCCCCAGCCCTGGCAACCACCTATCTCCTGTCTCCAGGCATTTCCTGTTCCGCACATCTCATGTCAATACGTGGCCTTTTGGGTCTGGTTTCTTTTCCTTAGCACACGGTCAAGGTTTGCCCATGTTGCGGCGTGTACTAACGTTTCATTCCCTCCTCTGGCTGAACACATCACGTTATATGGAGAGAACACAGCTGGTCCCTCCGTCCAGGCACCAGCAGACACTGGGTTGTGTCTGCCCTTTGGCTCTTGTGAGTAAGGATGCTGTGAACATCCGTGCACAGGTTTCCCCTCCCCTTGCTCCTGCACCTGGGGAGGTTTCTGGGTCCTGCGGTGACTCTGTATTTAACACGTGGAGCGACTGTCCTGCTGCCGAGCAGCTGCGCCATCCTACACTCTCACCAACATTTGAGGGTCCCCGCCTTCCCACGTCATCGCCAACACTTGCTATGATTGTTCTTTTTTATCTTAACCACGCCAGTGGAAGTGAAGTCCTATCTCACTGTAGTTTGTTACTGTGGTTTTTAAAAATATTTATTTGAAAAGCATAGCAACAGAAAGTGAGCTTTATTCTGCTAGTGCACTCTCCAAATGGCTGCAACAGCTGGGTCTGTGCCGGGCCAGTGCCGGGCCAAGGCCAGGAACCAGGAACTGCATCCTGGTCTCCCACGTGGGTGGCAGGGACCTAACTATTCGGGCCATCTTGCACAGCCTTCCCAGGCACGTTAGCAGGAAGCTGGATTGGGAGCAGCACTCAGACCTGCACTCTGATACAGATGCCAGCATGGCAAGTGGCAACTTAACCCAGGGCACCCACGGCTGGCTCCTTGGCTGCGGTTTCTGAGGGACAATGTGGCAGTGGAAAAGTGACTTGCAGCAGAAGTAGTCCCCGGAGGGCCCATGGGGCAGCTGAACTCGCCTCCCAAAGGAAGCCCGCACACCTATGTTTTATCACCTCTGTTCAACAAAACAAGAGCATGGGAGCAGGGAGACAGATGATGGCTTTGCCCCTCTGCAGGGTGGGGTGCTGACTCTGGTACTCAACTTCCCCACCTCTGCCTCACAGCACTGCCAACAGTTTCAGGCATTTCGGACGGAAGTGGTTCCAGCGGCAGGCAGTGATCTGCCTCGGCCTCATGGCCCTCTCCTGGGGATTGACAAACACCATTTTGTTATTGGCCAAAGGCAGGGACCCCACACACACACACACACACAGGCACACTCAGGAAAACATGATTTGATGGCCCCATGGCCTGCTGCCGGCCCCTCACTTGAAGCTGTGCCCCTGAAGGGGGTCTCAGAGACCAGCCTCTTTCTTGTCTCTTCCCTCCCTCGGCAGTCCTTAAGCTAAGCCACAGGGGTGGTCTTGTGACACATGAACAGCTGCCTGTAGGGGCACTGCTGGCCAAACTCCGACGGAACATGCTCAAGCCTGGCACAGCCTGCCTGGGGCAGCTGCAGCTGGAGGAACCAGGAGTTTAAAGCTCAGATGCTTTTTATTGGTTTCATCTTGACGCCTAGCAGAAGCCCAGGGCGCCAGCACAGGTGATGAGAGAGGGGACCTGAGGACTGAAAGGCACAGGAGTGGCTCAGGGGCATGATCCAGGCGTGGCGGTCAGAAAGACAGTGCAGACTTCACTGTGAAAAACTCTACATTTTGAAACTGGTTTAGATCTGCAGAAGAGTTGGGAAGACCGCAGAGAGAGCTCCCAGGGACCTTTCACATAGCTTCCCTAATGTACCTTACGGAGCCATGATATAGTTATCAAACCAAGATGTCACCATTGCTGTCATACTTGATTTTTTTTAATGCATATTTATTTATCTGAGAGACAAAGGCAGACAGAAAAGATGCCTGAAACCAGGAGCCAGAACTCCATCCAGGTCCCCCACAGGGGTGGCAGGAACTCAACACCTGAGCCAGCACCTGCTGCCTCCCGGGGTCTGCATCAAGTTCAGGTCCTCTGACACGGGATGCTGGTGTCTTAACAACCAGTGTCACACAGCTGGGTTAGAAGCATGCCCTGTGTGGCACCAGCCACTAGACTTTACATGGGTTCCACCAATTTTTCCACCAACGCCCTGTGTTTCAGGAGCTGACCCAGGTGCCCATGCTACACTGGGTCTCCTTAGTCCAGGGAGTTTCTCAGTCTTTTCTTGTCCATCATAATCATGTGGTTTGGAGAGACTGGGCCTGTTGCGTTTTTTTTTTTTTTTTTTTAATTTGTTTTAATTTGACAGGTTGAGTTATAGACAGTGAGAGAGAGAGACAGAGAGAAAGGTCTTCTGTTGGTTCACTCCCCAAATGGCTGCCACGGCTAACGTTGTGCCTATCCAAAGCCAGGAGCCAGGTGCTTCTCCTGGTCTCCCATGCGGGTGTAGGGTCCAAGCACTTGGGCCATCCTCCACTGCCTTCCTGGGCCACAGCAGAGAGCTGGATGGAAGAGGAGCAACCAGGATTAGAACCCGGGCCCATATGGGATGCCGGTGCCGCAGGCGGAGGATGAACCCAGTGAGCCCCGGCGCTGGCCTGTTTTTGTATTTCTAAGAGTCAGCCAGGAGGAGTGACCCTGGCCTGGGAAGCAGGTCGGTGGGATCTGCACACCATAGCCTGCGGGGCAAACCCAGGCTGCTGCCCACTTGAGTGCAGTCCACAAGCTCAGAGTGGTTTTCACGTTTTTTTGTTGTTGTTGTTGTTTTTTGTTTTTGAATGGTTGGAAAAAAATCCCAGGAAGACTGTTTCTTGACATTGAATTATTATGAAATCTGAGTTTCAGAGCACATAATGGGTCTGGTTGGAAGGCAGCCAGAGCCGCCCGTACCTGTGCCAGAGCAGCAGGACCCCAGAGCCCTCACAGAGTGCACGCCGACCCTTCAGAAAGATGCTTTGCACACCCTGATGAACAAGGCCCTGAGATTCAGAGGACCTGGCCCTCCCCTGACTCTGAAGCCAGTTCAGACAGCACTGAAGCTTCAAGTTCATTCCTTCAGGCAGCCTCCAAATATTTACTGAGGACGCAGTCAAATCCAGCAGAGACTCCTGTTCAAGCAAGTGTCAAGTGACACCCAAACTCAGGACTGGAAGAGGTTAATTCCCACCAAATGTCTTCCCAATTCTCGGGTACAGCTCCTGCCAGTGATAATAACAGCTGCTATCACATTTTAAGAGCCGCCCTGTGCCAGTAATGCTTTACTTGTGTGATCTCTTTTAATCCTCACAACTGCCCCAGGAGTTGTTCAGGAGGAAACTGAGGTTTAAGAGCTGAGTCACACCCAAGGGCACACAGGTAGCCATTAAATGGCAGAAGCAGAGAATGCATAGTGCACATAGATGCTCACCATCCTCAGGAGGGGCCTAGGCATCTTCAGTGAGGATCTGGGCTGGGCTGGGCTGGCTCTCAGCTGCTTCTGGAAACCCACACCACTCTGCACGTCCCTGATCCCGCGGTAAAACACCAGAATGCTGCACAGGTCAGCTGGCCCCATGCCCCATCTGAAGGAGTGTTCTTTCAAAGCACGTTGTGGTCCTCAGTATTCTGACTCTAAGTCTCTCTCTTTTTTTAATGTTTATTTATTTACATCTACTTGAAAGGCAGAGAGAAAGAGGGAAAGAGAGAGAGATCTCCCATCTCCTGGTTCATTCCCCAAACACCCACAACAGCAGGGGTTGAGTCAGACCAAAGCCAGGAGCCAAGAATTCTATCTGGATCTCTCTCGTACACAACAGGGACTCAAGTTCTTGAGGCTGAGTTATCAGAAAGCTGGATAGAGCCGGCGCCGTGGCTCAATAGGCTAATCCTCCACCTTGCGGCGCCGGCACACCGGGTTCGAGTCCCGGTTGGGGCGCTGGATTCTGTCCCGGTTGCCCCTCTTCCAGGCCAGCTCTCTGCTATGGCCAGGGAGTGCAGTGGAGGATGGCCCAGGTGCTTGGGCCCTGCACCCCATGGGAGACCAGGAAAAGCACCTGGCTCCTGGCTCCTGCCAGGATCAGCGCGGTGCGCCGGCTGCAGCGGCGGCCATTGGAGGGTGAACCAACGGCAAAAAGGAAGACCTTTCTCTCTCTGTCTCTCTCTCTCACTGTCCACTCTGCCTGTCAAAAAAAAAAAAAGCTGGATAGAAGCAGAGTAGCTAGGACTTGAACTGGCACTCTGATATAGGATGGAATCTATCATGCCACAAGTCTTTTTTTTTTTAACAATTAAAAAAAATTTTAGGGCCCATGTTGTGGCACAATGGATTAATCTGCTGCCTGTGATACCAGCATCCAATATCATACCACCAGTTCGAGTTTTAGCTGCTCAGCTTCTGATCCAGCCCTTTGCTAATGTGCCTGGGAAGGCAGGGGAGGATGCCTTAAATACCTGGGGCCCTGCCATCCATGTGGAAGACTCAGATGGAACTCTGGGCTCCTGGCTTTGACTTGGCAGGAGCTTTGACTTGCAGGCATTTGGGACAGTGAACCAGCCTATGGAAGATCTCTGTCCCTGTCACTCTGCCTTTCAAATAAAAGTTTTATTATTATTTGTTTGAAAGGCAGAGTTACCGATAGAGAAATCTTCCATCCGCTAGTTCATCTCCCCAAAATGGCCACAATGACCAGGGCTGGGTCAGACCAAAGCCAGAAGCCAGGAGCTGCTTCCAGGTTTCCCATGTGGATGTAGGGACCCAAGAACTTGGGCAATCCTGTACTGCTTTCCTAGGCCATTAGCAGGGAACTGGATCAGAAGTGGAGCAGCAAGGACTTGAACTGGTGCCCATATGGGTTGCCAGCATTACAGGTGGTGGCTTTACCTGCTACACCACAATGCTGGCTCCCAAATATATAAATCTTTAAAAAAAGTTACTTAGGGGCCAGCATTGTGGCATAGCAGGTTAAGCCACTACCGCAATGCTGGCATCCTATATGCATGCTGGTTCAAGACCCAGGAACTCCACTTCCAATCCAGCTCACTGCTAATGTACCTGGGAAAGCAGCGGAAAATGGTCCAAGTCCTCAGGCCCCTGCAACATGTGGTACACCCAAAGAGGCTCCTGCTTCGAGTCGGCTCAGCTCTGGCTGTTGCAACCATCTGGGGAGTGAACCAGCAGATGCAAGATTCATTTCTCTGTCTCTCCCTCTCGCTGTCTGTAAACTCAGCTTTTCAAATACACAAATACTTCTTTAGAAAATTATTAACAGACAGAGCTTCCATTCACTGGTTTGCTCCCAAAATGGTTATAAAGCCCAGGACTGGGCTGGGGCCTGAGACAGGGTCCAGGACACCATCTAGGTCTCCCACGTGGGTGGCAGAAACCCAACTACCTGAGCCATCACCACTGACTCCCACAGTCTGCCCTGGCAAGAGGCTGGAATCTGTTGCTGCGACCGGGAATTGAACCCAGGCACCCTCATATGGGATGTGGGCATCTTAACTGGCATTTAAGAATCTATTCATTTATGTTTCCCTACTTGAAAGGCAGAGCAAGAGAGCTTTTCCATTGGCTGCTTCATTTCCCAAATGTCTTCAACAGCCAGGGCTGGGCCAGGTCGAAGCCAGTAACCTGGAACTCCATTTGGGTTTCCCTTTATGGGTGGCAGGGACCCAAGAACTTCATTCAGTCATCACCTGCTGTTTCTCAAGCACGTTAGCAGGAAGCTGGGTCAGAAGTAGAGGCAAACTCCATCCTAGGCACTCTAATATGGGATGCAGGTATCCCTAGTGGTGGCTCAACCCACTGCATCACAGTGCCCACCCCCATCCCAAGTCCTGATGCACAAATTGTATGCCACTGTCTCTGTCTCTTTGTTGTTGCTGTCAGGGAGCGTGAGCTTTGTGCACCACCCCCACCCTCTGCCCCAGATGGGGCAATAACGCCAACCTCTTCTCTTCCACAAGCACTTAGCAGGCTGGGCCTACACTGGGGAGAGGTACAGGGCCCTCCTGGGACTGGACGGGGTACCTCAGGTACACCTTGTCTTTGTCAAGCAGTATGAGAGACAACGCAAGCACCTGCAGGACAGGGGTCACCAAAGTGAATGGGGGGGATGCCACGGACACCAGCCCGCTGGTGGTGGCTCCTGGGGTCTTTAGCAGGACCCCATCCATGCACACACACACAGTACTGGTTCAGCCCACGCCTGACGGTGGCCCCAGCTCACTGCCTCACTGGTCAGTGGTCAGTTCTGCCGAGGAAAACACTTCCAGTGAATGCATTGATAAGCACAAAACCAAAGGATGCTAGAGATGATGAAAAAAGTCCCTGACTGGTGTCCAGGCCACAACCAACTCCAAGTTATATTTTGAAAAGAATAAAAAGTAAGTCACTTGAGAGCTTCCTGTTCCCTCGATGTCCCCAAGAACTTTTTAACTGGCTTGCTAATGTAGCTCCTGAGCCCTGAGCAGCTGCAAAATTGGTCCACAGCGCTTGTTTTTCCTTTTGTGCCTGTAAGAACAAGATGTAAGCTAGGTTGCAGAGCCCTGGTGGCATGATCCGATGAGCTGCAGATCCTGGGCTCGGGCTGGCTGCCCTGGGGTTGCCATGACAGCCTGGCCTGGGGGAGACGGTTCTGCTGCGTGTCCCTGGGTGTTCCAGTGACCATCACTGTGCCAAGTTTCCAAGTTTCCACCTGGACTCTGCACAGCAGAGAGGGCTTGTGCCCCAGTGAGTGGCAGCTGCTCTGTTTCACAGACTCTCATTGAGAGAAAGAAGGTAAAGCAGATCAGGAATGTCACTGCAGATGCTGGTTCCTTGGGGGAAGTTCCTGCTGTGGGTAGGGCATGCTCTAGAGGGAGCATCTGGGGATACTGCCTCTAAAATCAGGCCTTGTGGTCAGTGCATGGCTCATGTGCCAAATCAGAGTGCCTGGGTCAAGTCCAAGCCCTGCTTCCAACCCAGATCCCTGCTAATGCACATTGTGGGAGGCAGCAGGTGATGGCTCAAGCACTTGGGTCCCTGGAACCCATGTGGGAGACTTGGGTTGAGTTGTAGGCTCCTGGCTTCGGCCTGACCCAGCTCCCAGCTGTTGTGGGCACTTAACGAGTGAATGAGTAGATGGAAGATTTCTCTCTGTGTCTCATATATACATACATATGATACACATCTGCCTTTCAAGTAATGGAGATAAACTGAGACCCTAGCTTTCGTCTGTGTACACTATGGTGCCAACATACTTTAAAGGCCAACATATCGCTGCCAACTTAACCACGTGCAGAGCTGCAGATGATTTCTGCCTCCTGTGTGCTTCGCAGCCCAGTGGAGTGTGAGGCGGCCAATCAACCACCTGGGCTAGTGCGGTGTACCAGGTGAGGCCCAGATGTGTCACACACGGGGCTGGCTGCTTCTGCTTCTCTCTGGCAGTTGCCCCACTGTGAAGCTTGACCAGTGATGCGCTTCCCGAGGGCCTCACCAACCGCCTAGGTATTTTGTAGAGAAGAAGCCACTCACAGAACTCTTGGGGGCCCCAAACAGCTGGGGTGATGCCCGGCGGGTGTCATGAAGGGGGCCGGCTGCTGCTAAGGCCTCCACCTCCAGCCCAGCCTTGCTGTGCCCTGCATGGACCTCTTGACAGCACCCTCTTCATGGCTCAGGCCCGGGGATCCCACAGCCATCAGCACCCAGCTGCCAGGGCTGTTCCTGCCTCCCCCTACTTTTCTATTTCAGAAACAGTGGAATGTCCAACTTTGCAAATTCCATTGCCGAACAGAAACTTGCTTTTAATGTCCAAATGTCCTGATGAGCAGAACGTGGGCAGGGAAATGCAGAAATCACACACACACACACACACACACACACACACACACACTCAGCATGCTGCCTCTGGGCTTCGAACATTCCTCACAACTTCACTGACCACTTTGTTCGGAATCTTCTGAAATGGCCAAGCCAAGGATTTCCGTTGTGAATATTTCTGCAGTGATTTCTTCTGGAAGTTCTTCTTCAAGGCAAATTTCTGATCCTAGCCCAACAAGAAAAGAGTCACACACCTCTACAGCGACTGGGTTTCTAATTCAGACATGCCTTCCAAAGGCACTGGGATGGGATGCTGAAGGAAAAGGAGGGGTGCTCCAGGCCTGGGTTCACTGGGCTTTGGTTCCTTGAAAACCCTTGCAGGGAGAGTGGTTAAAATCCCTCCTTAGAGAACAGAGCCCTGTTAGCTCCAGCCACACCATGTGGCTGTATTTTTTCCATTTCTTGGAATCCTTTTGTCACAACATAAACACCCACCATCAACAAGGCTGCATCCTGAGATGCCAAGGACACAAGAGAATGGAGCAGGGAGCACACAGCCTGGAAACAACCTGCTGGGCACCAGTGTCTACAAAGATGTGAGACCAGGAACTTTGTCTAATCAGACACAGCAGTGAAGGAGAAGGGAGGCTGGCGGTGGTCTTGTCTGGGGAGACCTTCCAGCCCAGACAGGCAGGGGGGCTGCTGGGATTGCTCACTCCTGGGCTTGCATGTGTAGCCCTCACTTCCCGCCCAGTGGACTCGAGGAAAAGGGAGAAGGACAACCCTCAGGCAAGGGTGGGACGGGAAGGCAGGAGATGCTTAAACACTTGAAGGTCCTGGTGGCCAGAAGCTGGCCTCGAGCTGCCCACCTGGTTGCTGCCCCTCCCTAGCCACACCTCTCTGGACACAGCCGTGCTGAGCTGGACTCTACTGGTAGCCAGGGTCCACCCACCCAACCCACAAAGACAAAGAACTGATCCAAGGAATAGGGAGAGAAATGAGGCCAGAACCCATGAGAGGAACAGGACTCTCATCCCACAGGTCACCAGTCTAGTCCTCACTCGTTCACCATGGCTGCCTCTGCGTGCACAGCCTCACAGCGAGGCGCTTGTACAGTAAGGGGCAGTAAATGCACTCAAGTCTACCTTTGACAAGGTACCTTTGACGGAGGTGGCAGCGGGCTCCGATCCCCAGCCCTCAGGATTCAGGCCGAACAGTGTAGCGAAGCAGTTGGACATCTCCTCCTGGGTCATGTGCTCACCTGGGCTCCATCAAGCACAAAGGCAGCCACTCAGTTCTAGGGCTAAGTACAGGATTATCATCCAGGGTCTTACAGAAGCACTCTGTACTATCTGCTTTCCTTCGGACCCACACACAATCTAGAGTTCCACGTCACCGTCACACAGACTTCCTCCTATGGTGTGACTACGGTGTGACTACGGTGTGACTACGGTGTGACTAGGCTGGAGCTGGCAGAGCTCAAAGGCAGCTTGCTGAAAAAGACTGGGTTCTCTCACATCAAAACCACCCAGCTGGACAGAGATGAGAATATCACCCAAACAGAGTACCTGCTGAGCTGCCTCATACACAGTCACAAGGAAAAGTGGGCAAAAATTAACAGAAAAGTTGGCCACGGTGTAGATTTATTTCACAAACATGTCCTAATCTAAATGGCAGCCACATGGGACAGTGAGGCTGGAACTTCCCCTGTGGCTTTGCAGGGAGGACGCAGGCCCTACAGAGCTCCGGAGAGCTGAAGCAGAAGCCCCCTTCTCCCGGCAGCCAGGCCAGGGTCTCTCCCATCACCCCACACGTGCAGGTGGGCAGAAGGAGGTTCCTGCTCTCCCCTGAAAGACGGGGCTCCCAGGAGTTTGGCTCACCAGGCTTCGCTCTTCCCCTGGGAATGCTGGAGGATGTTCCCAGACGCCCTGTTTGTGCACTCACCTTTCGTTTGGAGCAGTTTCAGGAAATCCTCTCTTCGAATAGCCTTTTGTCCTCTGGAATTGGTGAAACCCAGAACCTCAAAGGTCTGCTGAATGCCACTCATGGTGTTACCGAAAGGCGGCCTGTGATTGAGGTAAACTTTGAGGAAATCTGGCAAGTTGATTTTGTCAATTATCTTCCCAGTGTTTACATACTCGCTAAATTTGACTTCATTAAACATATCCGCAATCTAGGGGAGAGATATAAAAATAAAAAGATCATGGTAAAAAGGAATGACGCTTCCATAGGCTTCTAAAACTTAAAGCATTAACAAGACAAATTTACACAAGTGGCTTAGAACATGTCCATTATGGGATGATTGTGCCTCCCAAGAAAAATACGTTGAAGCCCCAGGACCTCAGAGTGCGGGGTTAGTGGTGACAGGACCATGGCAGATGCAGTCGTCATGAGGTCACAGCCGAGCAGAGTGGGCCTTTGCTCCAGTGTGACTGCTGTCCTTGCAGGAAAGGGACAGGGACGTGCAGGAAGGGAAGGGCTGCTGACGCAGGGACCAGAGAAGCACAGCTCTAAGCCAAGGTTTGCCGCCCTCCCGACTCTGCTGAAAGCTGGATTTGGATTGTTGTGAAAGAGCAGGTTCTGTGGCTGGTTTGTGTTACTTTGTTACTGCAGCCCTGATACAGTATCAGATTTGTCAGCCTGAGCAGGAATTCGTTTCATTGTCTCACTTTTTTTTTTTTTTTTTTTTTGTCAGAGTTAGACAGTGAGAGAGACAGAGACAGAGAGAAAGGCCTTCCTTCTGGTGGTTCACCCCCCAAATGACCGCTATGAGCTGGCACTATGCTGATCCGAAGCCAGGAGTCAGGTGCTTCCTCCTGGTCTCCTATGCGGGTGCAGGACCCAAGCACTTGGGCCATCCTCCACTGCCCTCCCGGGCCACAGCAGAGAGCTGGACTGGAAGAGGAGCAACTGGGACTAGAACCCGGTGCCCATATGGGATGCCGGCACCACAGGTGGAGGATTAACCAAGTGAGCCACGGCGCTGGCCCCTCACTGTCTCACCTTTTACCCAAGGGTGCATCCACCACTCTCTTGCCTTGTGAAACACATATTAATTTCATTTTAAAGACAGAATCCTCAAGAACTTTGAAATTTGTTTATCTGAATAAGCTAGTAACTTAGAGTGACACTCAACCATAGGACCCAAGCCCCTAGTATGTTTCTCAACCACCTTATAACTCCTTTTGCCTTTGTAATTTTACTGTGCACTATTTTATATATACAACAGACTATATGTAAAATATATGCAATTCACATGGCATTTTTTAAATGAACACCTAAAGAAACATAAGTCAGAAAAAAATCAACAAAACTGACAAATCTTTAACTAGACTAACCATGAAACAAAAATATTCACATTATCAACATCAAAAATGAGGGGCCGGCGCTGTGGCACAGCTGGTTAACACCCTGGCCTGAAGCGCCAGCATCCCATATGGGCGCCAGTTCGAGTCCCGGCTGCTCCACTTCCAATCCAGCTCTCTGCTGTGGCCTGGGAAAGCAGTAGAGGATGGCCCAAGTCCTTGGGCCCCTGTGCCTGTGTGGGAGACCTGGAAGAAGCTCCTGGCTCCTGGCTTCGAACCGGCGCAGCTCCAGCCGTTGCGGCCATCTGGGGAGTGAATCATCGGACGGAAGACCTCTCTTTCTCTCTCTGCCTCTCCTCTCTCTGTGTAACTCTGACTTTCAAATAAATAAATAAATCTTTAAAAAAAATCAAAAATGAAAGAAGTGACCTCACTACTGACACTACAGAAATAAAAACCAAGCAATGGGGTGAGAATCTGGCACAGCAGTTAAGACACTGCTTAGGATGCCTGCATCCCATACAGGAGTACATGGTTTAAGTCCTGGCTCCTCTATTCTGATTCAGCTTTCTGCAAATACACACCCCATGGAAGCAGCAGATGATGGCCCAAGTACTGGGGGCCTTGCCACCTATGTGGGAAACCCAGATTGATTTTTTTGGCTCTTGGCTTTGGCCTGGCCCAGCCCTGGCTGTTGTGGGTAGCTAGGGAGTGAACCAATAGGTGGAAGATCACTGTTTGTCCCTCTGTCTCTGTCCCTGTTTCTAATTAAACAATGAAAATAAATAAATAATTAAAAAAAGAGAGAAGAAAGAAGCAAGGGATAAAGGGAAGTAAAACAGAAGAAAACTTGTAGAAGAAAATAAAATAAAAGAAAAGTAACACCTTGAGCATTAGGGAATACTATGAACAACTATGTGTCAACATAGATAACTTATATAAAAAGGAAGAATTCTTGCACAAATAGAAGCAACCAAAACTAACTTGAAAAAAAAAATAGAACATCTGGATAGACTTTCAATAGAGATTGAATTAGTCATTTTAAACTTGACACAAAGAGAAATCAAGGGCCAGACGGCTGCAATGGTTAATTCTACCAAATATTTAAAGAAGAACAAAAATTTTCCACACACACTCTCTTCAGAAAAAGAAGAAAATAGAATATTTCCCAATTCATTCTGTAAGACCAGTAATATACTGAAACAAAAAACAGCAAAGACATCTCTTATGATTTTTAGATGCAAACACCCTCAACAAAATACAAGCACAGAGAACCTAGCAACATACCACAAGAACTGGGTAGCATGACCAAGTGGGATTTACCCTGGGAATGCAAGGTTGTTTCAACATATGAACCTCAGTGCAATACATAATTATCAACAGGACAAAGGACAAAAACCACACATACATGGTCATCTAAATAGTTGCAGCAGAAAACATTTGAGAAAATGTAACAAGCTTACATGACTAAAAACACTCAAGAAACTAGAAGTGGAGGACATTTCCTCAATCCAATAATGATTATTATGAAAAACCCACAGCTAACATTACACTGAGTGATCAAAGACTAAATGCTTTCCCCCCCATGTTCAGGAATGAGATAAGGATGTCCATAGCTTTACCTCAGTCCACATTGTACTAAATGTTCTAGTGAAGCAAAATTATCTTGACTTAAGGATGATATGATTACACACAGAAAAATCCAAAACAACGCATCAGAAACTATGAGAAGTGGTATATAAGCTCAGCAAGGTTGCAGGGCACAATAGCAATAATCAATTGTGGCCGGCGCCGCGGCTTACTAGGCTAATCCTCCGCCTGCGGTGCCGGCACCCCAGGTTCTAGTCCCGGTTGGGGCACCAGATTCTGTCCCGGTTGCTCCTCTCCCAGTCCAGCTCTCTGCTGTGGCCCAGGAAGGCAGTGGAGGATGGCCCAAGTGCTTGGGCCCTGCACCAGCATGGGAGACCAGGAGAAGTACCTGGCTCCTGGCTTCGGATCAGCATAGCGCTGGCCATAGTAGCCATTTGCGGGGGGGAACCAACAGAAGGAAGACCTCTCTCTCCCTCTCTCTGTCTAACTGTACCTGTCAAAAAAAAAAAAAGAAAGAAAGAAAACAAATTATGAAAATAATTTCTTTTTTAATTTGAAAGACAAGGTTACATAAGGGGGAGAGGGAAGGAGGAAGGGAGAGGGGGAGAGAGAGAGAGATTAATCTAGATCTTCTATCCACTGGTTCACTTCCTAAATGGTCACAACAGCCATAGCTGAGCCAGACCATATCAGGAGTCTAGAGCTTCATCTGGTTCTCCCATGTGGGTGCAGGGGCCCAAGCATTTGGACCCTTTAGGAATAAATTTAATAAAACAAATACAAGACTTACATAAACTATAAAATATTATTAAAAGAAATAAAAAAGAAAATTAAACAATGGCAACATTATCCAAATTGATGGCAATACTACAAAGTTGATCTATAGACTACAGAATCCTTATCAAAATTCCAGATGGTTTTCCTGCAGAAAATTTGATCAGCTGATCCTAACATTCATACTTCAAAAGGTACCAAGAACAGCCAAAACAATCTTGAAAAAGAACAAAGTGAAGGACTCGTATTTGCTGATTTCAAAATTTCTACAAAGCTACAGTAACCAAAACAGTTGGTTCTGACAGAAGGACTGACACAGATTTCAACAGAAGATAATTAGGAGTCCAGAAATCCTCACGCATCTTCATCACTAACAGATTTTTGACAAGGGTGTCAATTCAATTCAATAGGAAAACAGTCTTGTACAAACGGTGTGGGGACAACCAATATACACTGAGAAAGAACAAAACTGGACACCTTCCTCACATCACTCACAAAAACTGACTCCCAATGGGTCAGAAAAGAAATCACAGGAGTACATCCTTGGTTTTGGCAAAAATCTTCTTACATATGATAACAAAAGCACAAAATTACAGAAGAAAAATGGCAAGAAAATTGGACTTCATCAAAATTAAGAAAATTATGCTTCAAAGGACACCATCAGGAACATGAAAAGACAACCCAGAGACAGAAAGTGCTCAAAGGACCTGTATCTGATAAGTGACCTTATACCCTGGAAAAGACAAACAACTCTTCCAGGAGTAGGCATTTGGCACCTTAGTTAAACACCCACTTGGAACAGCACAACACACATCAGAGTGCCTGGGTTCAAGCTGCTACTCTGCTTTCGATTCCATCATCCAGCTAATGCACACCTTGGGAGGCAACAGGTGATGGCTCACACGCTTGGGTCCCGGCCACCCATGGGGGAGACTCAGACTGAGGTCCAGCCTTGGCTGCTGCAGATATCTGGAGCATGAGCTGATGGATGGAAGACCTCTGTTTCTGTCTTTCAAATAAATGAAGATGAATTTAAAAAGTTTTTTTTTAAAAGACTTAGTTATATATTTATTTTATCTGAAAGGCAGAGTTAGAGAGAGAGAGGGGGAGATGGAAGGGGGGAGTTAAAGAGAAGGAAGGAGAGTGGTCTTCCATCTGCTGGTTCATTTCCAAAATGGCCCCAACTGCCAGGGTTGGGCCAGGCCAAAGGCAAGCCAGGCCAAAGCCAGGAGCCAGGAGCTCCTTCCAGGTCTCTCACAGGGGTGCAGGGACCCAAGCACATGGGCCATCTTCCACTGCTTTCCCAGGCACATAAGCAAGGAGCTGGATCAGAAGTAGAGCAACAGGGACTTGAACCGGTGCCCATAAGGGATGTCAGCCCTGTAGGAGGCAGCTTAACCCACTATGCCACCATGCCAGCCCCTGAATAATTTTAAAAGAGAGCTTGTTCAATTCAATGACAAGAGACAAATCACTTTAAAAACAGGCAGATCATCTGAATAGG